TATTGGTTTTTCGTCAATAAACCACTTACCCTGACCATCTTGGGTATCTGTTTGGTTCCCACATTATATTCAATGAGAGGATCCTGACTTGACAAAGAAGTTTCTGTCTTTTCCAAGAGATCAGGCCAGCGAAAACCTTCTTCTTCGCCAACATTATTGTTGGAAACTTTATTATTATGTAGTCTAACCATTAATTGGTTTAAATAAAACTGCCTAATCATTTTATCACATTTATTTATTTCTTCCATAATTAAACTTTAAATAAATAAGAGTTTATTTTGGCTAACAACAGAGCCATAATACAGAAGATTATTTCTAATGAAACACACAACCCTGCGTAGTGAGCTTACAGCCCTTCCAGGGATACTCGTCTACCATAATTGTCCGTGAAATCGGTGGAACATACTCCGAATAGAGAACCGACTCTTCCACTCCTTCTGTAGAGCCGAACGGGTTGGTACTAGCTTCCATGGTGAAAACTTGATCTCCTTCCCAAAACATGATCTGTTGATGGAGTGAAGAAGGCACGCACTTGGAAGCGTGAATCCAGTCTCGCCCCAATAAAACTGAGTAGGTGGTATTGGCATCTACGACAAAAAACACTGTCGAAATCACCTTTGGTCCGACCTCAATGGGTGCCACCATCATCCCTTCTGGTTTGGTTGGTTGTCCCATGAAGCTCGTCATCTTGATATCTACTGGAGACAAATCGCCAACCCCTTTGCCCAATTTTCTTAAAGTTTTGAGAGGCATGACATTGAAAACAACCCCATTATCGATGAAAACCTTGTTAACCGGCTTACCACATATGTGAGCGTTAACATACAGTGGTTTTCAGTGCGGGATCACTCCTTCTGGTATAGGTGGAAAAACCATAGGTGGGGGTCTGCCAACCATCGCCGTCCATTTTGGTTCTTCCTCTTCCTCGAACTTTGCCCAAATGGATTCTTCTTCGGCGAACCATCGCATATCCTTCATCCTGACTTCGAACCCTGCTTTATCAAGCTTCACTATCTTGCTGCGCAAAACTTTCGTCTCTTCTGGGGCAAAAGATCCGAAAATTATGTCAAGAGTCTCTTCCTCTACATCTTCTATTTCAGGATTAATATTGATCCACTTGCAGAATTGACATCGAAAACACTTGGCCTTCTTGATAGGCTTGCTAGTCTGCCAATGCTCCTCAGGTCTCTCACTCGAGCTTTTCCTTTTGGGCGATGATTCTTTCTTTTCCTTACCCTTATCTACTCGTTTTCCATGCCGAGCCGCATACCTGCGCTTAGCATTACGAATTTGTGTGCGATTCATACCTGGAAATCGAGGATCTATGTCTATTGGCAGAGGCTTTCTATTCCGGCTCCACTTCTCCTGGACTGGATGTGGTTTGCGCGTTGGTCGGTCTCGTACCACGACTTTATCTTTCAATTCCACTTTGAAAGACCCATCTTCTCTGTCTCATTTCTCCGCCACTCTGTTTTCACAAACTTTGAACTTCACTTCTTGATTGTGTTCCCGCTCTTTGGGCTTGCGTTCCTTTCATTTGGTGTTCTCTTTATCATCACTTTGCGCATCTTGTGAAGAATGCAGGGAGATCATTGCAGTAGTCACTTTTGGGAACGGCTGATGTTCTACTCCCATTGTTACATACTTGAATCTCCCTGCTTTAATAGCCTTCTGTATTTCCTTTCGGAAATTTGTACATTGACTAGTATAATGCGTAAAAGAATTATGCCACTTACAATATGGCCTTCCCTTTATTTCTTTCTTCGTTGCCAAACGCTGCCCTTTAGGAATGCGAATTTGTCCGTCTGCCAACAGAATATCAAAAATTTCGTCTGCCTTGGATACATCAAAGGTCGGTTGTTCCCTCTCCTCTGTTCCCGGCAGGGGCTTTAGTTTCGAACACACGTACGGTTTCCCACTCACAATTTCAGCTGCCATCTCTTCAATGATATTCCCCTGTTCATTATATGGCGAATATATTTCTGTATCAACACTGGTCATCTGTTGTACCCTGTTCCGACGGAAATTGTGATCTTTTTCTCTAAACAAAGACTTCAATCTCCCTGCTTTGGAGGCCAGACTAGCCAAGTCCTGAACATCATGAGCTGTCAACGCCTCCCGAAGTCTGGAATGCATATTCCTGACCACTAAATTGGTCATCTCACTTTCCTCGATGATTGTCGGGCACCGTCCTTTCATGAGACGTATCCGTTCAATAAACTGATACGCAGTCTCTTCTAGCATCTGCCGGATCTCTAAGAGATCTGTGAGTGAGACCGTTGGGAGGGGATTAAAAAATCTTGCATGGAATGCAGCCTCCAGATCTTCCCAAGTTTGCAACTGCCCTGGCGGTAGATTTGCGAACCATGAAAAAACGGTTCTTATAAGTGATAATCCGAACAACTATAATTTATAGAACGAATTATTGCCCACTTCCCCTAATTGAGCCGTGAAACATCCCACATGTTCAATGGTTAATGCCCCATCTTCTCCAGAAAATGAGTGAAAATCGGGTGGTCTGTAATTCCTTGGAAGCGGATGCTCATTGATGATTCTCTCTGAGAATGGCCTCTAGTATGCAGGTCTGTTGACCGTCTGAGGGTTCATTCCAAAATGCACTCTCAAGACCTGGGCAATGTCCTCTGGATCTATCCTGGGTGGAACAGGATCAAACAACGGGATGGGATTGTGAGCTTGCCCTCATAATCTCTCATCCCTGGGGTCGGTTGGTTCAGTTCTGACACCCAACGGAATGTTATTTGGATATGTCAAATGAGTCTTTCCCCTGTCAACCCTAGGGGCGGCAGTAGCACTTGGAAAAGTGCTATCCACATAGGAGGGCCCCGCGAAATTTGCCTGTAATCTGGATGGTGATGATTCTGGTGGCGTCTGGCTGGGTTGCAGAGTAACCCTTGACAACGTTTGATTTAGCATATTTTGCATAAGATTTTGTTGCTCCCGCAACATTTGTTGCTCACGCAACATATTCTGCATGGCCAAATTATGTTGATTGTTCAATTGCTGAACATAAGAAACCCAGTCGGTAGGTGCTTGTGGCATTTTTCCTGTATTTGGCATGACAGGTGGTGGGACTGTTTTCTCCCACCGGTGCAGACGATGCTTGAGGCTGTGAGCCTGCCATGTGGATCCTTCCAACGATTCGGCCGGACCTTAATCGTATGAAACTCTCCGTTGACGTAGGATCAGCAATCTTGCTTACTCCCACTGTGGTCGCCAAATTGTTGATGTATTTTTTTCAACAATATAAAGTAAAATTCGAAAATAGAGAAATATCTTCGAATTTGATAGATGAGTGCCTGAGATTAGGGATCTCTAAACACTATAGAATATATAAAATAAAATAGGAAAGATAAAATAAAAGACTGGAAAATAAAGTGGTGATCCCCAAAAGTAATTCTCTTGAATTTTTGTTAGTTGAAGATGCCTTTTTTCAAACAGTACGGAATCCTTAAATAATCCCTTGAAGATGCGGTTCGAACCGCTGTCTGGTCGGTTACCATAACCGCTGTTAACCACCCCAAAAGTTCTCTTCTATTGACACGTGTGTCAACCGTCCTACCACGTCCGACCTTCAAAAACCGTTCGCCAGTTGAAACTACCCTCCACTATCAGGAACTGCCTTCTCACCCGACCTGCAGATTAGCTACTTTACTGCCCGACCTTGTTACGCCCGACCTTATACTGCCTTATCTCCATAGCAGACCTAACTGTGCCCGACCATCGAACTCGGCATGATTATACTCGACCTCAGCGCCCGTCCTTTGGGATTTGTCCCGACCAGGTCCGACTTTAATGTCCGACCTTATTAGGTCCCGACCAGGTCCGACTTCAGTACCCGACCTCATTACGTCCAACCATTGGAATTGACCCGACCAGGTCCAGCTTCATCATCCGTCCGACCTTTGAGATTGACCCGACCAGGTCCAACCTTATCGTCCGACCTTAAGCTTGTCCGACCAGGTCATTGCAGCTATATTTGGAATCTCGAAAGTCCACTAAACTTTTGAATAAATATTAACCTAATTTGGTAGGCTCATTCTCTAAAACCCTACTTACCATTTTTTGTGCTCAACAATTATTTAAATAAAAACAAATAAAATATATTTTTTTCTTATCATCATATCACTTAATTTCAAAATTATTTGTTTTTCTGAAATGTTGCATAGCTCGAAGGAAGAAAAAGTTTTTTTGTAGCGGTTACAGGCGCATTTTGATATTTAAAAATCACCCGCAGTATCAATTTGGTAAAAGATATTTTCACACGTGGCAGTTTTTTATAGGTCCGTCACCCCACTGTTACTTACTATCAGGGTAAAGTTGAATTTCCCGAATAATTCCATGTGGTATATTTGGATTGTTAGATTGATTCCTTCCAACGGTCAAAAATGCTTTCTTAGCATTGTAGGTTTTATATGGATATACAAAATATTTTCAATTTTATTATAAATTGATAATATAAATATTGTATGAAGTTATTATGAGAATATTAATATAAATAATTATAAATATAATAGTATTTGTAATATAAAGTAAATTCATACTTATTAAAAAAATAAATACTTTTTATTTAAATAATAAAAAACGATAAAATATATAATTATTAAATCAACGAATAAAATATATTTTAGTAATATATAATAGAAATTATATCGCATTAAAATATTGGTGAACACACCCTATAAAAAATATTGTACAGCAATTAATATTTATATTTAGTTAAAATATTAATGAAAAATGTCATTATTATTCAAAAGATAAATTTCAAATACCTATATAGAAAATCAAAATTAGTGAAGGTAATTGGTAAAAGAAATGTGATTAATTCCAACGAATCATGACATACCACGTGTCCTTAGTCATCCTTTGCTGGTAAGGAACCAATTGAGTGAAACTTACACCTGTGGTCGAGACGAAGAAAAAGCAATGAAAGTGAAACATCATATAAAAAACATCACCACAATTATTGATTAGAATAATAATTGATAGGAAGATATGAAGCTCGTAATTTTTAATCCACTTGATTAAAAATAAATAAGTGAAGAAAACACAAAGAAAACAATTATTAGAAATTAAATTAAAGTAAAAAAAGAAAAAAAAAAAAAAAGAAGTGAGTGAGCAGTTAGGCCACTCTGCTTTTGTAAAAGCATGCGTTTAATTTCTACGAAGGCTCCAATTATTTCTAAAACGTACATGTTTTGAAGCGCGGCGTACACCTCTGTTCTGCGTCGTCTTCCTTGTTCGGACGCCTTTAAATACACCTCTCGTGTGCCCCAATCCTCAAACAAAAGCGATCTAATCCACTGCCTGCCTAGTTTAGATTCTCTCCCAAACGATTTCTACAATAATTGCTTTTGAAGTTGTTCAAATAGAGCAGAATTTACCGGTAATGGCAAGGAGATTCTGGAGCGTGGTGCGAGCAGCTTGTTCCGTACTAAGGAAGCGCGTCTCGAAGGCGAGATTGTTGGCTGATTTTAAGATCTACATGATGATGAAGCGAGGCAAGGTCGACGGCAAAGCCGACGTGTTTAATCTCGTGTTCCAAAAGGCAGGGGTAATTTTGTAATTAAGTAATGTTTTGGGCCGAGTCCAGCAATGCTCAAAGGCCTAATAAATGCGACGCAACGACGTCGTTTTAGGGGACGTTGTATCTGCTGAGTATAAATTGGCTGTCGTCAGATTTCACCGCTTGTCTTGTCCTCAGGTCTGTCTGTTTTCGTTTTACTCTTTTCCTTTACGATTGTGTAGTTTTGCTGATCGTAGGAATTAACTGAGATGAATTTCTTATTCTGAGTTTGTTTTGCGTCGATTTCATTTTACTCTGATTGAATTTAGGTTTGGAAAGTATGTGATTTTGTCGAATTCAATGTACTGGTCTCGATTAGAGCGATGAGATTTAGTGTATTGTGCTTTTGATACACATATTTTCAGTTCCCTATTATGCTTTGTGTTTGCCTTTAGGTAATTTTTCTGTTTCCGAAATCCTGTTGATAATGAAAAGCTTGGGTTGTATTTGGATTTGAATTTTTTGGAATGAAAATATGTTTAGGTGTGATGTTTCTGGTGGTGCGAAATGTGTATCCTTGTGCATGCAAATTTGAGAGGGTAAACAAACACCATTTTTGTGTGAATTCAGAGGGGAAATGTGTCTTGTTACAAAGGAAAGCTTGGGTAGGACCCTTTTTTTTTTTTTTTTTTTTTATCGGAAAGCTTGGGTAGGAACTTTTACATGTGAATCTTGTGGTCATAGAAATCAAGGAAAGGAGAGAAGAGAAAGGTCATTTGTAGGGTTTTCGCCAATTTTACATGCCTGTGTTCAAAACAACGTTAGTGGAATAAAATATAATGAACATTAAGATGAAATATGATCTAAAATTGTGTTGTCTCCTTTAGTTGCAAATTTTCTTAAATCACATCTCTTATTTCCTCAGATTTTTATCTTGTTTCACTAGTATTGGTAACGATGTCTGACAGTCTATGATATAAATATGAAATAGCTTAGGGTTTAGGGTTGTTTTGAATGCGTTAGATGTTTTGTTATTATATTTCAGTTTCAAATATTTGTTGCAATTTATGCTTGTTCACTGTTTTCTTATTGCAATTTAATCTACCAATAATTTTGATTCCTAAGATATGGACGCTTCGGAGTTGGAGACACAAACTAATTCCACCACCGCGGCGGTGGAGGAAGATGAAGAAGAGGAGTACGTTTTGCTTGATTTGGATGGCGTTTCCGACCACATTAGCATTCCTCCCAATGCGCCATACCAACTCTCTGTACGTACTATTTCAGTCCACTCTTATTCTCTTACATTCAAAAGTTTGAATTCACTTCCATAGGTTTCGAGATTACATTGATAATTGTCATTGTTTCGTTGTTGTATGAATATGATTATTATTTGAACGATTTATGCAGGGCCTGGACACTCCCAATCCGATTCTGCTGATAGATAACAAAATTAAATTGGTGAGTCGATACCCATCCATTTGATTATTTTCACCTGATGCATACTTCCTAGACGATTCTGTGGTAGCAAACGAGAAATAATTTTGCTCAATAAATTTTGACATGGACAACCGGGATCCAAGATGTTCTGTTTTAGTTCTTCATTTATTGTAGTCGACATTTTGATACCGAGTAAAATAGCTGTTGCTTGATGGTCCATTGGTATGTTTTCCCCTAAAATTCGACTGATCAGATGAAGTTGTTGGCTTGGCAATTCCATTAGAATGCCTGAAACAATTAAACGAAAATTGACATTTGATTGCACATATTTATTTATAATTTCTCTTACTCGAATCCACGTAACTATTTTGTATTTCAGATAGGATAATATGAAGAGACAATTGGGACTTGCCTTGTTTTTAATCAATCTGGTAAGCAGCCATGTTTATCATTGTACTATTAAATCGTGGCTAAGATGCACAAAACTTACCGTGGTTTCACGAAATTGCGTAAAATCCCCTATAGTTCTAAAATTGCGTCAAACTCTCTCATAACTTCATAAATTCTGCGTCTAACCCCATATACAGTTCTTATTTAACGGTGTTTGACCTAAATGCTAAAATTGCAAATGAATTTCGGAATATCGATTTTTAAACCCTTAAAATTACTAATATATTCATTTTTTTTATATTTAGCGTCACATAATAGTAAAAATAAGCTCTTGAAATCGGAGAGAAACAACTAATTATGAGTGTATTTACTGGTTTTTAAGGTTAAATATAATAGGAATAAATATATTTGTAATTTTAAGTGTTTAGAAATTAAGATTTTGAAATTCATTCACAGTTTAGACTCGTGTAGGTCAAACACCTTTAAATAAGGACCGTTATGGGGGTTAGATGCAGAGTTTATAAACCACAAGGGAGATTGACGCACTTTTAGAAGTACGAAGGACTTGACGCAATTTCGTAAAACCACAAGTGTGTTTGGTGCACTTTAGCCTTAAATCTCTTAAGTTGATAGAACTTTGGTTGGATTATCCTTAAACCTGAGACTCAGGATCATCACCTATTTATATATTAAAAAGCCGCAATTGTAGACTATTTTCACCTAATAAAAAACGTGCATTACAACATACCAACGACACAGATTGAGGTTTTTGTTGTGTTTTTTAAGATACAAACATCTTGCCGGCTTATACCACATGTTTTTATTCCTTCGATAAACAGATGGATCTCCTATTGTTCACAAAGAGACAGGGCCTTCGGAAGCCAGCCTTTTCTCCGGAAAATACATAATAGATCCGAACGAAACCCCGGCCAAACAAGTAAGTGCAGCTGCTTCCCTACACAAAATTCTCAAATATAGACTATTTTCAGAAGTTAATGATTCTAATGTAGAAAAATCAAGCAGACAGTGAACAAACTTCAGTTTAAATTATCGATTCAAAAGTAGGATTTTGTATTTACTTTAGAAACTATGTTTATCGGACATATTTTATATGCCCATAACCTCCCCTACTAGGAAAAATTAGGCCCCCAGGCCTATCCCGCCCCACAGGGGTTCGAGTAGACATGAGAAATACCTCATAGTATATTTAGTTTATATAAATACTATAATAGATATATTGTGTATAATATATGAACAAGAATTTGGAATGGAAAACTAGGGGAATAGTGAAAGTTTAGGGTTTATTTAGATTGAAGTTTTGGAATTTTAGATTTTTTTATTTTGATCGGATTTTTTTTTAGAATAGTAAAAAGTTGATTATTTGATGTGATGTTTTTGTGAGAGTAAAATGATATTTGGTGTGATATATTTTTTAAAAAATTACGGTTAATGAATAGTGTGAAAAGTTCCAAAAGTGTATATAAACAAAGCTTAGTTAATAAAATGAGTAAATCACTCACATTCACATTGTGTATTCACATTTTTATAGATGAATTGATTTTATGTATATGGTATGGAGAATTGTGTCAAAAAGTATAAAATATACTCTATTATTATAAATATTTGATTTTTTGACTTTTTTTTCTAATTAGTATTTGAAATTTTTTTTTTACTTTTGTAAAAAATTTTGTGTTATTTATTACTCCTTCTGTCCCAACTTGTCCCATTTACCGTAGACACGATAAGTTAAGAGGGATATAATAAGTAAATAATTAAGAATGTATTAGTGAAATTAGTTATGATATAATATAAATAATTAGATTAAGATAACTAATTAGTCTAATCAAAATTAAAAATTAAAAATTTTAAAATGATATTGAAGGTATAATTCTTTTTAAAAATAGCATTGTAAGAACATAGCGGATATGTTTTTGGGGTTTTTGATTTATTTTTTAAAATAGTAAAAAGTAGTAATAGAAAAATGTGTTTGATAAAGTAAAAAGTTAAAATAGATTTTTACTGAAATTGCCATGGTTATACAGTAAAAAACCGAAGAAAATGTTTTGATATTTATTGTTTTGTAAATAGTAAATCAAATAGAAAAAGGTGTTGTAAGTGATATTTATATTGAATGTTTTATGCATTTCAATTAAAATTACAATTTAAAACTGAAATCAATTACTCCCTCCCTTCCATATAATTTATTCCTATTTTCTATTTTCGTCTGTCCTATATAATTTGTCCATTCCTTTTTTGGAAATATAATTGTTACGTATGAAATTTAGAATTAGGTTCAAAAGCCCAAGGTAAAGGAAAAAATGGGCCTGGCAATAGAGTTGATTGAACTGGCTGAAGGACACCGTGGGGAACTCAAGGAAAATAGGTTTATTTCTAAGGAAAATACAGGTCGGGAGGTCCTCAAGACGGAAAGTCATCAGGACGGAAAGACCTCAGGTCGGGAAGTCCTTAGGTCGGGAAGTCCTCAGGTCGGGAGGTCCTCAGGTCGAAAGGTCCTCAGGTCAAAAAGTCCTCAGGACGGAAAGTCTTCAGGTCGGGAGGTCCTCAGGTCGAAAAATCCTCAGGACGGAAAGTCTTCAGGTCGAAAAGTCCTCAGGTCGGAAAGTCCTCAGGTCGGGAGGTCCTCAGGTCGGGAGGTCCTCAAGACGGAAAGTCATCAGGACGGAAAGTTCGCAGGTCGGGAGGTCCTCAGGTCGGAAAGTCCGCAGGTCGAAAAGTCCTCAGGACGGAAAGTCCTCAGGTCGGACAGGTCGGGAGGTCCTCAGGTCGGGACTCTACGGCTGGACCAACAAGTCGGATGGTTTGCAAGTCGGACCAATACGGTTGTAGATTGGCAGTCGCGCCAAAAGGGCGGAAGGTCTGTGGTCGGCTCAAAGAGTGAAATATAGTGATAATTTTGGTCCGCTGAGGACACGTGTCAGCAGGAGAAGGGTTGGAAGACGGTTGGAAAGGAGACGTTGTAACCGTTCGGGCGACGGTTTTCAGTACAGTTTCTCAGGGAATATTTAAGGATTTGGATCATCATTTGGCAAGGGATCTTCAATCAACTTCAACAAAGCAAAGTTAGATTTGGGGATCACCACTTTAAATTTCAGTCTTTTATTTTCCAGTTTATTTTCTGTACCATACAGTGTTTAGAGATTCCTAATCTCAGGCACTAATTAATCAAGTTTAAGGATATTTTCTATATCTTTGAATTTTACTTTATTTTTGTTGAAAAATTACATCAACAAATTGGCGACCACAGTGGGAGCAAGACAAAATTGCTCATTCCAATTCCGGCGACAATTTCATACGTCTTAGATCCGGCCGTATCATCGGAAGGGTCCATATGGCAGGTTCACAACCTCAATCATCGTCGGCACCGGTGGGAGAATCCGTTCCACCACCTATTGTGCCAAATGCTGGGGAAATCCCACAACCACCAACTGATTGGAGGTCTTATGTTCAACAAATGAACAACCAGCAAACTTTGGTTATGCAAAACATGTTGCGTGAGCAACAGAATCTGATGCAGAACATGTTAGATCAAGCACTGTCAAGGGTTAGTCTTCAACCCACTCAAACTCCACCAGGAGTATCACCATCCAGACTACAGGCAAATTTCGCAGGGCCATCATTCGTGGATAGTGCATTTCCAAGTGCCACAAATCCCAACCGAACCGATAGGGGAAAATCTCCTCTGACTTTTCCCAACACTGTTCCGCTGGGACCAAGGGTTTCCAGTCCGCAGCCGAACAATACAAGGGAGGACAGGCCTGAAGGACATATACATGATCCTATTCATATTCCTGTGCAGGATCCTTTCCATGTTCCTGATCATCAACGCTTTCATGTAGATCCTGATGAGATTGCACATATATTAAGGGATCAGTTTGGGCTAACTCCTCAGATGGCTAACCGCCCTGCATATCAGAGACCTTTCCCAGAAAGGATCATTAATGAACACCCCCTCCCAAGGAATTATCGACCACCCGATTTTCATGCATTCTCAGGGGAGGACGGATCTTCCACCATAGAACATGTTGGTCGGTTCACAGTACAATTGGGAGAAGTTGGTAATAACCCTTTTTATAAGTTGCAACTGTTTGGTTTATCTCTTACTAGAACAGCGTTTTCGTGGTTTGCAAGTCTGCCTCCTGGACAAATTCAGACGTGGGAAGGACTGGAGATGGCATTTCATGCCAGATTCTTCAATCCTTTACCAACTGTTTCTTTAACTGATTTACTAGAATTGAGACAGTACCCAGAAGAATCTGCTTCACAGTTTATAGAAAGGGTGCGATTGATGAAAGGGCGCTGTCCTACGGTAATCAGTGAGAAAGAGATGACCAATTTAGTGGTCCGAAATATGCATACTCGCTTAGGAAAGGCACTCACTGCACTGGATGTTGAGGATTTGGCAAGTCTTGCATCTAAGGCTGGACGCTTAGAGTCTTTGTTCAGAGAGGAAGATCAGAATAACAGGCGTAATAGAGGCCAACATATGGCGAGTATGGGAACAGAAACATGTGACTTTGATTTTAATCAGTCAGAAGAGATGGCAGCCGAAATCCTTTCTGGAAAACCTTATGTATGCCCCAAATTGAAGCCGGTACCAGGGTCTGAAGGAAAGGATCAACCGACGTTTGATAGTTCGAAAGCTGACGAAATCTTTGATATCCTGTTGACTGATGGCCAGATCCGTATTCCAAAGGGGCAAAGATTGGCCACTAAAGAAGAAATCAAAGGGAGACCATACTGTAAGTGGCATAATTCTTTCACACACAATACAAGTCAGTGTACTCATTTCAGGAAGGAAATTCAAAAAGCCATCAAGATAGGTCGGCTCAAGTACATCACTTTAGGTGTAGACCAGCAACCGTTTCCGAAAGTAACAACGTCAATGGTTGACATACAACCAAGTTCGGAAACAGAAAAAAACAATTCGGCCAATAGTGGACAAACAGGGGAACGAACTCAAGCAAGCCCCGGAACAAAAAAAGGAAGTCAGCCAAACAGTGGCCGACCGGAAGAAAGACTCAAAGTGTGTGAAAAGCCAGTCGCTGAAAAATGGGACAATCCAGACGGTTCTTTTAATGTGGAGGTGAAAGAAAAGGTTTTAGTGCGTGACCACCCGACCAGAAAAACAGGGTCAGTCGGAAATAATTGGGCTCGAAATAAAAAGCCTTTACCAGTTGATATAGATCCTCGTTTCCCAGGTATGAATCGTACACAGATTCGTAATGCCAAACGCAGGTATGCTGCGAAGTATGGGAAACGAGTTCCTTCAACAAAACAACTAACCGACGAACAAAAAGCAGCCGACCATCCGGCAGGAGATCAGTCCATTAGAGTCTTTTCAACAGAACAAACAACCAACGAACAGGGAGCAGCCATTCAATCTCCAAAAAATCGGTCCATTCGGGTATGTTCAAGAAAGCAACCGAACGACGGGTTAGGCGTTTCGGAGTATACCAAAGGAAGTTCGTCGGGACAGGGGAAAGGTAAAGGAATATCAGATGAAATAATTAGAGGTTTTAGATGCCAACATTGCGAACGGATCAACATCAATCCATCTCCTGAAGAATTCCGTATAGAATCTTTGACGGTTCAATCTCAGAATAAGACAAAGGAAGAAGTTGTAACTACAGAGGAAAATTCGAGATCTGTTAAATCTCGTCTAGGGCCACGAATCCCTTGTCGAATGACAGAGATTAATCAGATGAAAGATGAACCGATGTGGGCGAGTCTGTTAGATGATCCTACGGACGAACCTTTATGGGCAGTCTTGGCAGATAACGAATTGGAGGAAACAGAGTGGGCAAAGGCTTCAGATCCCGAGTCTCAGTCGGAGACACCTTCGATAGTGTTTCCTCCTATTCCAGAGGGTGCGATCTCCCATTTGAAACCTCTGTATGTTAATGCTCACATTTGCGGGAAACCAATCACAAAGGTTTTTGTAGATAATGGAGCAGTCTTTAATGTTATGCCATTGAAGACTCTCAAGAAGCTAGGGAAAGGAATTCATGATCTGTCTCCTGTGGAATTCGAAATGACAAGCTTTACAGGGCAGCCGACCAAGCCTGAAGGTATGATGGTTGCCACAATTGAAGTCGGACCAAAAAAGATCTCCACTGTTTTCTTTATTGTGGATGCAGATACTACATACTCTCTCTTGCTGGGGAGAGATTGGATTCATGCCTCTCAATGTGTGCCATCAACACTGCATCAACAATTAATGTTCTGGGAAGGAAATCAGGTCTTCAAAATGGAAGCAAATGACAACCCATTCGATGTATCAGAACAAGTTGAAGAGTCAGTTTTTTATTCCAGTCATTTGGTTCCGATGTCTCAGTTATATATGGCCAGGGAATACCCAAACAAGGGTTATAAAGTCACTGGCCAGAACTCGATGTTCTATTAAAAGAACAACTTTATTGTATGGCTCATGATAAAGCCACACCTATTCTCGTATAATTTGTCTGTTATGGGTGATACAAGTTTAGAAGTATGTAGTTCTCTTATTACTAAGTTCTATTTAAAGCAGTTATTACATAAAGCAGAAAATAGTAAAGAGATTCTTGATGTTCACCTCCAAGAAGATGAACAATTTCGTTGGCCTGATTTATTAGAAAAAACAGAACCAACAGCTTCATCACAAGACCCATTATTGGAGTTTAATTTAGGAACCGAATTGGTTCCAAAAGTGATCAGGCTAAGTGGTTATTTGTCTGAAGAGCAACAAACAATGATGCTCGAAGTTATTAGAAACAACATTGATTGTTTAGCATGGGATTATTCATAAATGCCTGGTTTGAAAAGAAGTTTAATAGAGCATTGATTGCCTATCAAGGAAGGTTGCAAACCTTATAAGCAACTCCCAAGGCGAATGAGCCCAGATCTGATGCCTCAAATCAAGGAAGAAATCCAAAAACTTCTCAAAGTGGGTTTCATTCGGCCTTGCCGTTATGCGGAATGGCTGGCTAACATTGTACTAGTGGTCAAGAAAAATGGTAAGATCAGGATATGCATCGATTTCAGGGATTTGAATCTAGCTACCCCTAAGGACAAATATGTGATGCCTATGGCCGACATGTTGATTGATGCAGCAGCAGGGCATAAAGTCCTTAGTTTGATGGATGGTTATGCAGGTTATAACCAAATATTTCTGGCAGAAGAAGACATTCCTAAGACAGCATTCAGGTGTCCAGGGGCTTTAGGTATTTATGAATGGACAGTCATGCCATTCGGGTTAAAGAATGCAGGGGCAACTTACCAAAGAGCCATGAATTCAATCTTTCATGATCTAATTGGCAAATCTATGGAAGTTTATATTGATGATGTTATTGTCAAATCCTCCAGTTTTAACGAACATTTGAGAAATCTTGAAGAGGCATTCGAAAGAATGAAGAAGTACAAGTTGAAGATGAATCCAACCAAGTGTGCTTTTGGAATATCAGCTGGGAGCTTTTTAGGATTTTTAGTTCATGAGAGAGGAATTGAAATCGATGCTAATAAGGCTAAAGCCATTCTTGACAGTCGGTCACCCAAGACGGTTAAAGAAATCCAAAGTCTTTTGGGTAAGGTGAATTATTTGAGGCGTTTCATTTCTAATGCTGCTGGCAAGGTCAGACCAATTACTAAATTGTTAAAAGCTGGAAAAAATGCTTTTGAATGGGGTCCAGATCAACAGACGGCTTTAGATGCTATCAAGCAGGCATTGGTTCACCCTCCAGTTTTAATGCCTTCTAAACAAGGTCGGCCGCTCAAACTTTATTTGGCAAATACACATGAAGTGGTTAGCTGTTTATTGGCACAGGATGGTGATGACGGGAAGGAAAGGGCAATTTACTATCTTAGTAAAACCCTTGCAGGACCAGAACTGAATTATACTATGCCAGAAAAAATGTGTTATTCATTGGTCTTCGCTTGCACTAAACTCGAGCATTATTTGCTGCCCAGAAGAATTGAGGTCATATCAAAGGTGGATCTCATCAAATTGATTTTACAGAGACCTACTATGAAGGGCAGACTCATGAAGTGGGCCATCAAATTGGCTCCTTTTGATCTCCAACATTCCCCTTTGAAGGCAATCAAGGGACAAGCAGTAGCCGACTTCTTATCAGAATTCTCACAAGTCGGATATTCTTTTTATGATAGTGTCCGACCACTCAGTTGTTCATCATATCTGAATAATCTACAGGTCGGATGTGTGCCTTATATAAGTACCAGAACATGGTTGATGTTCTTTGATGGTTCCACCTCTGGAAACAAATCAGGAGCAAGGGTCTTTTTGCAAGGACCTGACGGTCAAAAGATCAACTTACAACTACGATTGGAAGCCATGACCCATAATTCGGCAGAATATGAAGCTTTAATTTTGGGTTTGGAGGCTTTAATAGCCAGGAAGGTCCAGTCTGTAATCATAAGAGGGGATTCTCAACTAGTAATCAACCAGGTAAACAATCAATATGTTTGCAATTACCCTCATCTTCGCAGATACAGGGACATTGTGGGTCGGTTACTGACAAAAATCTCAGAAGTAATAATTGAGTTCATTCCAAGGATAGAAAACCAACGTGCTGATGAGTTGGCTCAAAGGGCCTGTAAAGGAATTCTGGAGGATATGTGTTCGGGGGTCAAGTCGGACATAGAAGGAAAGACAGACCAAATATGTGATCGAATGGTCGGACAAGAGACTGTCGGACAGGAGCCCGACGGCGTAGTTACAGTCGGACACAAAGATACTAGTGAAACAGCGACCGATTGGAGAACAGAACTTATCATGTATTTACAAAATCCAGGTGCGAATGTTTCAATTGCAATACGATTGAAGGCTTTACGTTTTCAATTGATAGATGGAATTTTGTATAATAGATCATTTGAAGGTTTACTTTTAAAATGTTTGGGGTCTAAAGAAGCTCTAGAGGTAATGACAGAAGTACATAGTGGGATATGTGGAGCTCATCGGGCAGGTCTGAATATGAGATGGGCCATTCATCGTTTGGGGTTTTTCTGGCCAAAGATTTTTGAGGATTGCATACAATTTGCCAAAGGCTGCCAGGAATGTCAGAGACATGGAAATTTAAACCATTTGCCAGTAACCGAATTGCAATCTTTGGTAAAACCATGGCCTTTTAAATCATGGGCTATGGATATCATTGGTAAGATACATCCTGCTTCATCGAAACACCATTGTTTCATATTGGTCGCGACTGACTACTTTACCAAATGGGTAGAAGCAGTTTCTTTGAAAAATGTAGATCAGAAAGAAGTGATAGACTTCGTTTTGAATCAAATTATTTACAGATATGGTATTCCTCAGTCTATAACAACCGACCAAGGCCTGGTTTTCACAGGGGAAAAGTTCTCTAGTTTCTTGGCAGAATTTGGTGTCCGATTACACCATTCGTCACCTTATTATCCCCAAGCCAATGGACAAGCGGAAGCAGCAAATAAGATCATTATTGGGATTATAAAGAAGATGGTTGAAGGGAACCCAAGAAAGTGGCATTTGTTATTGTCTCGGGCTTTATGGGCACACAGGAATACCAGAAATACGGCCACAGGGTTCTCACCGTACCAACTCACTTTTGGCCAAGATGCTGTTTTACCAGCCGAAATCCGAGTATCGTCTGGCCGAACAGAATTTACTGATGGTGATCTTACAAAAGAATACCAACAGCTTATGTTGCAACAGTTGGAGGATTTGGATGTTAACCTGTAACACCCCCAGTTGGCTCATATTGGAAATGCTACCGCCACACTGCATTATGAGGTCGTCACCTCCTACTTCGGACCACACAATACAGTGTTAAGGCTAAATTAACCATAATACAATATACGTAAGTTCACTCACTCAGCCCATCTTTCTATGTCTCGAGACGTCCCCTGTCTCGGATGTGCCATGCATACCTGAAACAAATATTTTCTTAAAAGCAGTCTAGAATTAAATCCATTTTAAGAACTAAAGTGAAATATGTTATTTCACACCTTTTTAAAATAAAGTTTAATTCCCGTTAATCATAAAATACGTGTCATGTCATGCCAATAGTGAAATGATGCAATACAGATATCAAACTCGACAACAATGCACACTCACATATATATATATCCGCCAAAGTGAGCAACCGGAATAACCTCGGCTCCATAATCACAAGCTCACTACATCTGTCTAAGTGAGCAGCCGGAATACCCTCGGCCCCGTAATAACAAGCTCACTAGACCATCATCAATAAATAGCCAGAAAATCCTCGGCTCAAGGAAGGACCTGATAAACCCATAACAATATAACGGTCATCCGGTCACTTCCATATACCCACCATACCACTCCTACAATCAATACATGGATAGCCGAACGTTGTCGCCATTAACCACAAGACGCCCCATAGTCTGTGATAGCGAAGATAGGACCCCCACTGACTAGCCCTATCCCGTGTAATGTAATAGAATCCGTGCAACCTGGAATCACCCAAGGGAAACCCGGAAACTCTACTCCTCCTCGCGCGCCCTAACGGGATCACGTTTGGAGTTTGGCATATGATCCTAAACTACCGGTAGACCTCACTAGTGATCAGTCCAATGAGTGGAACAACACCGAACACGAATGATTAGACCAAATACGTCTCAACTACAATAGGTCTAATCCCTGAATGACCGTGCGACTAAGTCACCCAGTTGTCCGACTACTATCGTCCACTATCGCCAAAGTGTTACGGTACATCGGGGTCGAATATCCTAACCCCAGATGATGCCCTCGCCTAGCACTACCGCACACAACGACTAGACGATAGATCCATAAAACACATCCGATAAACCGTGCAATATGTGTGCAACATGCCAAATAAGTGAATTTACCGAAAAGGGCTGGTGAGACAGCTCACCTATCCTTCTTCTCATAAATTCACCAACGCGATCATATATGTATATCAAATATCATAAACCGTGAAGTCTCCCACATGCATACGCACACACACATATATATATATAAATATATACATGCAACAAAATGATTCACATAATATCATGTTAACATATTAATCAGAATCGCATGCAACATGCATACCTAATTTCTTAAAATTAGATTTAATTCCCTACTGCTTACCTTTTATCGACACTACCTAGCTCCCGCAATTTCACCCAAATCTCTTCCAACGTACACCTGCCCCATTATTTACTCAAATCAGTTGAGCAATATATTTATATATAGGAGCTACCTGCTTATTCAAAAGCTAATTTCTATAGTTAGCTCGTTGGGTTTCAAACTTTTATATTTAGCAGACTACGATATTCTAGTTATAAAACTCTTATACCTCATAATATTTATATCGCCCGATTATTAAATAAAAATACCTAAAGATATGAATAAACAGGCAGGTAAAATACACTGCTGTTTTCAATTCGGCTCGGATCGATACAAAATTCTCAAAATATAATACTAGGACTAC